GGAGTCGAGCCGCTTCCAGCCCCGGGAAGTCCGTCGGGCAGGGCCGAGGGGCCCCTGCATTTTATGGCTGTGAGGTCGGTAAACCTACTCCGAGACAGCAGCCACTTGGATGAAGTGATTAATGCAGATAGAAAGATAACATGGGGGGGGGGGGTTGTGGTTGTTTTTAATTTTTAACAGAAAACAAAGAAACAAATGAAGTCTTCCCCTGACCCAGGACCCAGGCTGGACTGTGAAACTTTGCCACAGATGCCTTTGCTTTCTTCTACTTCGGTATCCTTTCCCCCCTTTTCTTGTAAGTAGCTCTTAGGGAAGCCGTGAAGTAACCCTGCACGTTCCAATAACAGTTATGACATAACAGAACCCAACTACGAAGTGATCACAATTCAGAAATGTTTAGTAAGGAAAATACCAGAAACAAAAGTGCACATAACAATTCAAGGTTTCCTTTTAAAAAAAAAAAAAAAAAAATGAAAGTAACTTACCTGTTGGGACATTCTGAATAAGAGGTTAGTATCAGCGTTTTGCCATGTCCCCATGAACCCTGGTTCAGCCGGAGTCGTTCTGGTTCCGAACTGCATGGAGTTGTCAGTACAGCAGTCTCTTAAAGTCAAGTCTCTTGCCCTCTTTGGCTCTCTGTCTCTCTGTGTCTCTCTTTCTCTCACATCCACTTCTGCCTCTTCTGACTGAAAAGTGAAGGTGGATTTTTTGAGCCTCTTGGCAGCCAGTAGCAGGAGTGTAGTGTAGTTAAGAAGCTGGCTGAACTGTGCATTTCACTGGGGAAGGGGGAGATTTGGGGGGAAGGAGGGGGTCAGAGCTTCTTTCACACCTTCTGCACAGATACCCCTATCATTTATGCATAGATTGTGACTCCCCGAGCTTGCCTTTGCTCGGTTTAACAGCTGCCTGTCAGGTGTGCCGGCAGCACTGGAGACCCAACCATCAGCTTCAAACTCTTAGCTACTGCATGTCATTGGATAGCAGAGCTAGGAGTCAACTGCACTGTTCCACTGTCAGGCACTAAATGACACCCTGCACTAACCCCTCTCCAGACACACGGATAGAGAGATACGCACTTATGTACACTCCAAGCAGCACCATGATCAGGGACGGTCCACGGGGCAAGGAGAGACTGGGGCCCTTCCCAGGGAATTTTTCCCAACAATGCTTTCGGGTATAGCATGCAATATCTGACATCAGCCTTTGCTTTAACATTTGTAAACCGCTAGGCTTAAAAACATTTTTTTCCCCTAATCACACTGGAAGAAAGAAAAATATTCAGCTATAAGAGAATGTGAAGTTGGCTTAGGTGTTGTCTAAAATGTTAGCTCCTAAAAGTCATATAGTATGTACTGGACTATTTATAACCACATATAAACTTCTAGAGAAAATAATATACATAGAGACATGACCTTACACTCTAAAATGTAAATAAATAAACCTAGCAGTTTTTTGAACATAGAAGATGCACAATAAACATCTGCAAAATAAATACACACTATTTACTACCCAGTTCCCTCAGGGCATTAATTACTCAATTGGATGTTGAACAATAAGAAACTGAATGGGAAAGGAAAAAAGTGTACCTTTTCTTAAAGCTCAAAAGTAGAAAAAAAAATCCTTTGTTAAAGTTCCTGGATGAAGCCTCTACAATATCCTTTCAAATTATAAAAAAGAAAAAGATGAAGAAAAAAAGCCTGTCCCATTTCAGGTAAAAAGTAATGAATATAAAAACTCCATTTTTCATTCAAGATCTCCATGGAAAATTCTATAACGTTTTCCGGCCTGATGAAATATAACCTCGATAGCGTGTCATATTTTTAATTAAACCAGGTTTAAAACAAAACATCTATTTATTAGATCATATTTATCTACCTTCTTCATGGAAAAGCAGAACTGAACAAAACACACTGTACAAAAGCAGTAACTCCAAAATGGAAAGCTAAATTCATGTCATCTCATAAAAGTAGTCAGCAGGAAAAAGCCATCCTTCCTAAACTTAAAATGTAAGGCACATTAATCTTCGACCACCTACAAATACCGAGGACAAATGTACCACTCTCCTTGCTTTCTTAACTCAAGAAAAACAATAAACCTTACTCTCTGAAACAACAAAAGAAACAGAAAAGAGCTTCCGTGGCAGCTCGGTGTCATTAGTGGACAATGAGAAAAGATGAGAAAACGTGCACTGTGTTGACACAAATGTGCCTTCCCCTCTAGAACCCACATCTCCTGAAAGCTTTTCTGTTAAACTTCCCTCCGGTTCACCACCATTAAGCACAAAACAAGTCTCAAAAGCAGCAAATTCAATATCTGAAGAGAAACAAACAAGAACCCGAAGAATTGTTGCCTTAAAATATATTAAGTCCACCTGTGGTCAATAAAAATATTCTTGAGTGGGGGGAGGGCAGGAAAAAGACCCTGTGAGTCAATTGTCAACAGTGACTGTACCTTTACAGCTAGCTATTACCCATTTAAACTCCCTCTAAAATTTGCTAGCCTCTTGATTTCTGAAGTGGCACTCAGTGCCTCAGTCAAGCTGCATGCTCAGCTCCTGACCTTCCCACTAATGGCTGTTATTTGTGGGAGGCTTAAGGACACTGTCAATAGCAAGCTTCCTCCTCGCTCCTTGCAGGCTCTGTTGTATCGCTTTGCCTGCGTGTTCTCTCTAGCGTGCCTCTGGCTCTCCTGCTTTCACCCTCTCAGCTCCCCCTCCTTCCTTCTCTCCTTCACTCCCTCTTCCTCTTCTTCCAGCCCCCACCCCTCCTTTCTCTCAGTCCTGTGGTCCTCTCCTTTCCCAGGTATCCCCTCCTCACCAACCAACCAACCACACACACACACACACACACACACACACACACACACACACACCACAAAAATCAACTGGCATGCAGCAGCAAGCACCTGCAGTAATAGACTCTTTTATTAAAACTGTTATTCTGCAAGACTTGAAATTCCCCGTGGACTGGGCCATGTCAAAGCCGATATAATTAACTAGAGGCTCAGCAATGGATCAATTACCAGACAAGCAAGTGATAGTGAAATCAATGAAAGATCATCAGCCACATTATCAGTGTTGCAACTCATTAGGGCAAAACTGAGAAATGTGCTCAAAGCGAGCCCAAGCAAGGTGGCATTACAAAACAAAGGGCTAATTTGGAGACCCTGCTGTGAACAATCTGTAACAGAATTAGCCTTTTTTCCCCCTAAACTGCACAGCTCAGTAACTAAATGTGACAGACTGAGAGAAGCAGTTTATTAAGACACCAACCCCAAGTTTATTTAGTTCATAAACTCCCTCCTAGAAAATCAATACAGTCTGTACAGGGTTATTAGGCTGACTAGCTAATACATCCAAATCTAGTCTGCCTGGCCAGCAGTCATCTGACAAAATGCTACCCAGAGTAGGCAAACGGAACTCTTTCAGACAGCAAAGCTTGAGTTGCTCTAGATGAAACAGGTCTACAGTGTAACGTGTATCTGGCACATTACTGCCAAGGCACAAGCCTCAAAAGCACCAGGTTATCTTTCTACGGTTTAAAAAAAAATTTTTTTTTTTTACCTACAACTCTACAATTCTGCACCTGCTAAATGGATTTGATCAAACAAAATTTTAACTTGTTTGTAAGAATAGTCTACAAAGAAGACACGCTTTATTACAATGAGACAACAATTAACCCAGACTTAGCAAGAAATGAGTGAAGGAGTCAACTAAAACAAAAACCTCAAGCATACACACACGCTATTCTTTACAGATTTTAAGCTTCAAACATTCATTTTTAAATCCAGTTTTCAAAATACAAATTTGACTCCTCTAGAACTTTCCACTCACTTCCACATATAAACACAGCATGCAGAGTCCTCAGTCTTAGGATAATCTTCTGTCCAGCAAGCAGGACACCTGTATATTTGAAGGACACAGGTACAAAAACTATATACCCACTAGGTACAAAGATGACTTTTGAGTTTGTCCACTGGCTATATAGTCTGAAGATTGTAGAATAACTGTCTGGAATCGTTTGTATTAAGATTACTTAAAACTAGGGGAGTAGAAGCAGGCATCACTTACACAGTAATTGTTTTTCTGCTCTCCTGATTCCATGTATTTCCACTTAAAGAATCACAAATCCTAAAGGCTATGTGTTGGCTTTCCCACCCTTACTGATAGTGAGCAATGGACCATGGGAAGAAGTACACCAACTAGGTCTAAATGGCACCCAAGTTATTAAAGGTATTATGGGAATGTGAATACCTCCACCTCACCACAACATGTAGCAGAAATACACTTACTCAAAAGTAAGAAACTCAAATGAAGTTTACAGTGTTAAAACAGATTGGAGAACGGAAGGAAAAAACAAAAAGACAACAGCTTTTGGAAGTGATTTCTGATGTTTATGCTGTTTTCACATTTAAAATGTTCCAAGAAAAGGACTACACTAGTAACATGACTTCAGTGTACTGGCTCTAAGATACTAAATTCTAAATTTAAAAAAAAAAAAAAAATCTTTATTTTCATAGGACTTTAATAAAATCCAATTTATAGATTGCTGTAAATAAACATTTTTCCCCTAACTTTTGAGCTGGTACTCTACTAAGCATTTCAAAGCTCATGTTTTTGAGTAATCTGTAAAAAAGTTAGATAGATATAGATATAGATATTCTACAAAGAATAGTCTATTGGTATCTATAGTCTATTGGTATCTATACTATAGATACCAACGTCTCAGATCATAATCAAAAGTTGTAATTACAGAGTAATTTTATTCTTAAAAACCTTTTTGCATATAACTACATACTGTGCATGTACCCTCAATGAGATCCAATTAGTTGCAAAGAATTTGCATTTCAGTTAGTGTGGGATAACAAGACTACAGGGAGGCACAATGCAATTCTACAAGCAGCGTAAGAAAGTGTGTTCTTTTTTGTTAGCTCTGTAAGCAATAATTCCCACAACTGACTGTTGTAAATGTTACTGATCTTTTCAATATTTGGGTATTGAGGTGAGTTAGGTTTTTCCCTCCATTAAAAAAAAAAAAAATCACATGTTGGTGCAGATATTAGCCACAATGAACACCTTGAAGAAACAAATGAGTGAAGGATTTTGTTTTGCGTGTTTGTATGTGGG